TAGGTGCATAAATTGAAGCGACTGTCAATTGCATACCATTCAAGCTGCCTACCAATATCACCAATCTACCCATGCCATCTTTATAAATTAAGTCTTGTTGAAATGTCCATTCTGTGTGAAACAATATAGCTACTCCTTTGGATTTTTGGGCGGAAAAAGCGTGGTAAATTTTAGGATATTTTGTTGGTTTAAATGAAGGGGCGTTATGCTTACACAAATGAGTTTCTTGTAAACATATGATAGCTGCCCCTGACTGATCAATTTCTTGAACCGCTAAATGTCTTTTTAAGGGGCTGTTCAGCCCATTAACATTTAGTGACAAACACTTAAACTGGTGCACCATTAAATATCAGCGAATAACGATGCGTCAAACTGTTATTCTAGTTAGCAAGATTTCCTTCTCATCAACATATAGTATAACTTGCAAAAATCGATGATAAGCCTTGGTTAGGCATCTACTAACATAACTAATTTCTGTTGTTGGGGTATAGGAAAGTAGTGAAAACTTTGAAGTAACAATATAAAGTATGTACAAAAACTCTCAAATTAGAGAGTGTAGTATGGAATGTAATAGAGAGCCTCTATGTTGGCCTCCATAAAACATCCATAGCGGGGATCGTGTGGAGCGAGCCTTGCTCCAAAGCCAGACTATAAAAAAAAAAAAAATTCCCTTTCTCTTTTTTTTCTCCCTTCTCCTCCTTCTCCTTTACTTTTTTTTCCTAAGCTCAGTTGCCATATTAACACTGAATTTATTATTAATTTATCACCACAAATCTGTCAATTCCTATTCTACAGCATCCTTTGTGATTTCCAAATTTAATATCCAGTACAGGGAGTGCAGAATTATTAGGCAAATGAGTATTTTGACCACATCATCCTCTTTATGCATGTTGTCTTACTCCAAGCTGTATAGGCTCGAAAGCCTATTACCAATTAAGCATATTAGGTGATGTGCATCTCTGTAATGAGAAGGGGTGTGGTCTAGTGACATCAACACCCTATATCAGGTGTGCATAATTATTAGGCAACTTCCTTTCCTTTGGCAAAATGGGTCAAAAGAAGGACTTGACAGGCTCAGAAAAGTCAAAAATAGTGAGATATCTTGCAGAGGGATGCAGCACTCTTAAAATTGCAAAACTTCTGAAGCGTGATCATCGAACAATCAAGCGTTTCATTCAAAATAGTCAACAGGGTCGCAAGAAGCGTGTGGAAAAACCAAGGCGCAAAATAACTGCCCATGAACTGAGAAAAGTCAAGCGTGCAGCTGCCACGATGCCACTTGCCACCAGTTTGGCCATATTTCAGAGCTGCAACATCACTGGAGTGCCCAAAGCACAAGGTGTGCAATACTCAGAGACATGGCCAAGGTAAGAAAGGCTGAAAGGCGACCACCACTGAACAAGACACACAAGCTGAAACGTCAAGACTGGGCCAAGAAATATCTCAAGACTGATTTTTCTAAGGTTTTATGGACTGATGAAATGAGAGTGAGTCTTGATGGGCCAGATGGATGGGCCGTGGCTGGATTGGTAAAGGGCAGAGAGCTCCAGTCCGACTCAGACGCCAGCAAGGTGGAGGTGGAGTACTGGTTTGAGCTGGTATCATCAAAGATGAGCTTGTGGGGCCTTTTCGGGTTGAGGATGGAGTCAAGCTCAACTCCCAGTCCTATTGCCAGTTCCTGGAAGACACCTTCTTCAAGCAGTGGTACAGGAAGAAGTCTGCATCCTTCAAGAAAAACATGGTTTTCATGCAGGACAATGCTCCATCACACGCGTCCAAGTACTCCACAGCGTGGCTGGCAAGAAAGGGTATAAAAGAAGAAAATCTAATGACATGGCCTCCTTGTTCACCTGATCTGAACCCCATTGAGAACCTGTGGTCCATCATCAAATGTGAGATTTACAAGGAGGGAAAACGGTACACCTCTCTGAACAGTGTCTGGGAGGCTGTGGTTGCTGCTGCAAGCAATGTTGATGGTGAACAGATCAAAACACTGACAGAATCCATGGATGGCAGGCTTTTGAGTGTCCTTGCAAAGAAAGGTGGCTATATTGGTCACTGATTTGTTTTTGGTTTGTTTTTGAATGTCAGAAATATATATTTGTGAATGTTGAGATGTTATATTGGTTTCACTGGTAATAATAAATAATTGAAATGGGTATATATTTGTTTTTGTTAAGTTGCCTAATAATTATGCACAGTAATAGTCACCTGCACACACAGATATCCCCCTAACATAGCTAAAACTAAAAACAAACTAAAAACTACTTCCAAAAATATTCAGCTTTGATATTAATGAGTTTTTTGGGCTCATTGAGAACATGGTTGTTGTTCAATAATAAAATTAATCCTCAAAAATAAAACTTGCCTAATAATTCTGCACTCCCTGTAATTATTACCAAAGGGGATTAAGCACCCCCCCCTCAATATGCTTGACTAACCATTGTGAATCAAAATATACAGAAATTGAACTTACTTGGGACCACTACTCATTATTGAACTAAAAAAAATGAATTACCAAAACTTCCCACCATTAATATTCAACTTCTGCTTTATACATTCATATCCTAACTATGGCAGTGTTATATGTCTTCTAAATTATATTTGTGACAAGACCAATCTCGCCACATTGCATTGGAGAAGCCTAGTTGCTCGCCTGTTGCCTTTGGATTATGGCCTCATGTTAAAAGGCTTGATTTTCCCCTGCAAATACATGAAAGCCGGGTAATTTGGTGCTTGCCCTGTTTGAGCAAAGATACCCCAGATAGCTATGCCATGGAGCCTATTCGTATAATGAAAGACTATGGGAAAGACTTTGGCTCCATGGCATTTGGTCTGTATGTGTGTGCTCTGAGCGCCATTCAGTAATAATGTACGCTCAGATCTGAGCTATCTGGGGATATGTTGAATGTACCTGTTTTGTGCAATGGCTGCACAGTTATATGTTTTTATTTGTTTTATTGTCTTTTGCTGCCATGTGTTCAATGGAGTTTTGCCTCTGTCTTTGCAGATAATTGGATTACTTCCCAATTATCTCCAGGATAGAAGACTCTGTGGAACTGTTTTTTGGCAGAAAAACCATGCTTCCTTTGGTCACAAAGGTCTACGATCTATCTTTTGAACCATTGGACCAATTTGTATGACATATGTTTGTATTTGGAGTATGCTGATTCAAAAAATGTAAGTTTTATGTGAATGTGATGCATACTTTTCAAGTTATAAATAATGTGGAAAAATTGTATTTCTCTGCTTGTGCTAATTACATTACCCATTGTGTAAGGTAATTGAATCACATGCAGAGGGGAGGAATTTGTGTGGGAGTGTCTGAGTGTATTGCATGTGTTTATTGGTTGTGTTCCAAAAATCTGTGGGTGGTACTAATGTGTAAGAATGTGTGCATAAGCACAATAAACCCACAGCTCTGTCTGTTCACTGCTTGACCCTCAACACGGAGCCTTGTCTCGTTCTTGGGGGGATTTATTGTATGCTGTTCCAGTTTGACTTCTAGGAGTGTAAACCTATTCGTATGGTTTTTCCTATTCGGCTGTTTACGGCATTCATATGGTTTCCTGTTCGGCGGATTGGTGTTCTGCAGTAGCTGTGCCTGTGTCTCTGGAAGGGGAAGATCTTCTAAACGGCGGTTGTACCCTTTTATGCTAATATATTCTACATATTTACAAAATACATTTATTCCTTTTTCCTCTTTTTTCTTTTTTTTAATAATTTTTTTTATTCTCTTTCCCTTTTCCCTTTTCTTTCTCTTTTCCTCTTTTCCTCTCTTCCTCTTTTTTTTTCTGTTTACATATAGCCAAAACCTTTCCCTTTAAGTCTTTTGTAATTTAAACGTCAGCAAAAGGTGATCCAGCAAAAGGTGATCACTATGCATGGCCTATATGTTTAGTTTTCAACTATCCATATATAGCCCATAGCTTGAATTGTTTATATAGCATCCACCTTCTACTCCAGTGATTAGAAGGCACCTAATTAACTTTTAAATTGACATATAAACACTGAACTTATTATTAAATTATCGCCACAGGGCTATCAATTCTTATTCTACAGCATCCATTGTGCTTTCCAAATTAAATATCCTATAATTATTACAAAAAAGGGGTTAGACCCCCCCCCCCCTCCCCCCAATATGCTTGGCTAACCATTGTAAGTCAAAATATACAAAAATTGAGCACCTTGGGACTGCTACTCATATTTAAAAAAAAAAATGAATTACCAAAACTTCCTGCCCATTCATATTCAACGTCTGCTTTATACAATCCTATCTTAACTATGCCAGTGTTATTTGTCTCCTAAATTATATTCTACATATTCACAAATTACATACGGTTTTCTTTTTTTTCCTTTTTTTTTCTTCTCTTTTTTTTTTCTTTTTTCTTCCCCCCATTTTCTCCCACTGATTTGTTAATTACCTTATTTGTCTGTCAGTACGGCACATAGTTTTTAATGTCCAATATAACTATAAAGTTAATGAAAGTAAGTTGATATATAGTTTCCTCATGATTCATATTCCCATAATTTGCCTTTCATTCCTTGTCTCTTCTTTTTTGCCCAGGAGCTTAAAGCGATTATCCTACTACTGTCCATTTCGGTCGAATTTCCTTCGCTGCTGATTTTGTGGTTTTTGAATCATCTTTCCCAGGACATGAATTAGAATTGCCTAGGTACCCAATGGCCCATTCTTTGAGAGTCTTAATGCCATTTTCTGAGTCGTTTATGATGTTAAGTTTTCCATATCTCCATATTAATACCTTAGTGGGGAACCCCAACGATATGCCACTTTATTCTCTCTCAAAGCCTGAGTTATAACATGAAATTCCCTCCTTCTAGCCAGAGTCCAGGGATATATGTCCGCAAATACTGATATTCCAGAATACGGAGGAGGTAGCATTGAGGGGGCTCTAGCTGACTTTAGAAAGCTTTCTTTAGTTTTAAAATACTGAAAGCAGGCTATTACATCATGTGGCGTTTCTGACCTTATCGTCTACCGCAGCTCTCGGAGCGCTTGCTTCAAATAATCTTTTGAAATTGAGCCTCCTTCTGTATCCACTCGTGATACCTCTAGCTGCTGTTGGGCATCTTTTTCTGGTGATTGTGCAGGTGATTGAGCAGGTGACTGAGCGGGTGAATGAACCAGCTGAGAAGTTTGAGACTCAATATTTTCGTTTGTCTGTTTTTGCCTCTCCCTTCTGTTCTGCCAGATCTGGTCCGTAAGTTTTGTCTGCTTTGAAGGCGACATCCCCCCGGCTTTCCTCTGTAACTCTTCCTGCACTTCCCCGCAATATTCTTGTTAACTTATCTGCTTACTTTTCCACTATGCCACACTTTCACACTTTCGCTCTCTTTTGCTTCCTTTGCTCCTTGTTCCTTTGCTTATTTCTTTTTAATCATGCTGGTTTTACAGGTTTTTTTTCCCAGGCTTTTTCAGGCTTAATTCAGACTGCTGGCTTGGAGATCGACGAAGCACACAGCTCCTACTCCATGCGCCTGCACACGTCAGACGCTCGGCACGCCTGCACTGGTTAATACTAGGGTCTATGGGAATTATGCCAAGGAGTGGATGGTGGCAGGAAAGACAATTATCATTCTTGATGCATAAAAGGGTCTGAATATGTCATGTGGTATCTGGCACCAAGACATTAGCAGCAGATCTTTTACGTCCTACAAAGTGTGAGATGTTGCCTCCATGGATCAGATTTGTTGTTCCAACACATCCTATATATGCTCAGTTGGATTGAGATTTGGTGAATGTGGAGGCCAACGCAACATCTTGAACTCTTTGACATATTCTTCAAACCATTTCTGAACAATGTTTGCAGTGTGGGAGTGTGCATTATCTTGTTGATAGAGGCCACTGCCATCAGGAAACACCATTGCTATGAAGGGGTGTATGTGGCCTGCTACAATCTCTAGGTAGGTAAATGTCAAAGTAACAGCCACATAAATGCCAGGACCTAAAGTTTCCCAGCAGAAAGATCGTAACCATGCCTCCGTTGACCTGCCTTCTTCCATATTGCATCCTTCTGTCATTGCTTCCACAGGTAAACAACACACACATAACCAGCCATCTCCTTTTCTAAAATAAAATGTTACCAGACATCAGACTAGGCTAACTTCTTTCATTGCTTCATGGACTCTCACATCCCCATTGAATGTGGTGTACAGGGGTCATCATGGACATTCTGATTGGTCTGCAGTTATGCAGCCCCGAAGGCAGCAAGCTGCTATGCACTGTGTTTTCTAGCACCATTCTATTATGGCCATCATTATATTTGTCAAATATTTGAGCTATAATAGCTCTTCCGTGTGATCATACTTTGCCTTTGATCCCTACATGCATCAATGCATCTTAGGTGTCCATGGCCCTGGATGTTATTCACCTCACCTGTCAGTGGTTTTAATGTGACTGATCAGTGTATGAGAAACATTCAACTGTACAGAGATCATCAACCCTAATGGTCTCACAGATAATTGATTAGCTGCAACAAGGACACTTTCCCAGCAGTGGAATATTGGAAAGTTTATTGCTATTATTTTTTTATTTTTCAAGGTTTTTTTTGTTTTAACTAAAAAGGAGGTGCGGTTCTCACTAAAGAGAGCAAGAATAGAGTGAATAAATGCAGATAATTCCCATTAAGATAAATAGCCACAAAAACTCACAATTCAAAAATAATTAATTATAACACTTCTACTAGTTCCAGTACATACCATCTTCAAAATAGGAAATACTATTAGATCTTAATATTTTCCTGTGTGCAATATTTGCAAAGCTGTTGCAAAAGTAATTGTTTCCTCTGTTAAACAAGGCTCATTATTTTCAATTCAGCAATACCAGCATACTATGTCTCCATTAGACAATACATCAATCGATCTATGTAGTTGTATGATCATGGTAGTGATCCTGAAAAAAATAATGTTCTCTTTCTGTCTAAGGCATTAATAAGCCAACATGTGATCCACACTGAGATAATGAATGCTCTTTCCTTGTTACCATAAGAAAAACAAAACAAAACACATATTCTTGTGTTAAAGGTGTTTGTGGTTCTCCTTATCTAAAAAGAATTTGAAATAAACATTTCTTTGAGAATGTGGACGTGTTTATGTTGTATCTGTATACATTCTAGGCTTTATTCTTATTTGTTAACGACATACCCTCTTCTATTGGATCAATATGAAGCTGTCACTTTATAAGGGCTCAAAGTCTACACTTTTTCTATGAGTCACAATATCCACATTGATGCCTTTTTTCTTTTATCATCTCAAACTTGTGAGTGCAACAGAAAATTTGCGTTTTCTTTATATCATGCAATATTTTTATATCTTTGTTTGTAGGTACACCTAAAATTTTGTGTACTATACTAACAGGCAGTATATCTACAAATAATTCACAACAATTACAGATCATTTGTATGAAGACTTTAAAAGCCCTGCTCATCTAACTCAGACCAGGTTTTATGTGGCTGTCCAATTACAGACTGCCCACTGCAGCTCAATGAAAATTGTAGATTATGCTAGCTTTAGTGTACCTATAATCTTAATTTTCTTAATGACAGGAGACGAATATTTGCTTAAGTTTCTCTTTACTAGAACTCCACAGCAGCCAACGATAATAGCCATCTGATCCAACGGGCAAAGGTAATGGTAGAAACTGGTTTATGAGGACGTACATAAGATATCAACAGTTCCCCCGATTGGGAATCTCGAAGCGGGGTAGTAACTGACACACAGCGTGACAGAGTAGAGACCACACAGAGCTTAGGAGCCTATCGAAAATATGGATAGAAAATGGCAGTGGAGTCGGACTTGGTATGTCTAGACACCGAAAAGGTCACCCCCCCCAGGGAAAAGGTGAATGCATTAACATCAATCTTGGCCGACAACTGTCGTAGGGAAAGCTCCTGATTCTCCGGCCACTCCTGAATGAAATCCAAAACCCGGTGTATGTCCCAGAGGGATGTATATTTAGGTGCCAGCGGACATGACAGTCTGATGCCTCTCAAGAGTCTACAAACCAAGGGGTCTTGTCCGATGGGCATCCCTTGAAGGGGAACGTGAGCCGCTGAGATTGCTTCTAGCTGATCCTGATAGTTCATTGACATTCCAGGTACCCCGGAAAGAGTCCAAGCCACCAATTGGAGGTTGCCTTCCAATACAAGGGGGTGATGGTTGCCTAGTGAATCCGGAAGGAACATCTGCAGGGACGGAGGGAGAAGCGGGTCCCGACATGACAGTTCCACTAATTCTGGGAACCAAGCCTGGGCTTGCCAAAAAGGTGTCAGCAACACCAACCATACCTGTTGATGCCATAATTAGAGTAGGACTCTGGAAATCATAGTGAATGGTGGAAACACATAGGCTCCCTGTGACGGCCAGTCCTGAAGGAAAGCATCCAGCTGAAGTAATTCGAAACCTGGAAGTTCGTTCTGGATGCGAACAGATCCACCGTGAATGGTCCCCTCAGTCGCGCCACCTCTAGGTAGATTGGTCGATGTAGTTGCCAATCGCTGGCATCCCTCCAGTGTCTAGAGAACCAGCCCGCCATCAAGTTTGACACACCTGGGAGATACATTGCCTGGACAGTGATATTGCGCTGAAGGCAGAAGTTGTAAATCTCCTTTGTCACTTCCGTCAGTGTCCGTGAGGGGCCCCTCCCAGGTGGTTGACATACTGTACCGCTGATATATTGTCCATTCTCAGCAGAATGCTGCAATCCGATAACCCGCAAGGCTCCGTATTGCAAATGAGCCCGCAATAATTTCTAGGCAGTTGATGTAATATCCTGCTTCCGTGCTTGACCAGGGGCCTCCCGTGGTGGCGGTTGTGCAGGTCGCTCCCCAGCCCTATAGGCTGGCATCCGATTCCAGGACAAAGTCCGGAATCGGGCCGAAAATCGCCTTACCGTTCCTGGCTGACGTGAACAGCCACCAGCGAAGTTCGGTCTTGACTTCCTGCGTGATGGGAATCAGCTGGTCATAGGAGGGTTTTCTGCATAGGAAGCCTGCTTTCAAGCTCTGCATGGCCCTGTAGTGAAGGGGACCCGGGTAGATGGCTTGGATCAATGCGGACAAGAGGCCCACCACTCGTGGAATCACCTCTTGGCGCAGGATCCATCGGATCTCTTTCCGAATGGCCATGATCTTGGCCTGAGGGAGGCGTAGGATGCACTGTGTTGCATCTATCTCAAATCCCGAAACTTTAACTACCTGCGTTGGTGTGAGGGCAGACTTCTCTCGGTTGACCACAAACCCCAGGGATTCGAACAGGGAGACCGTGTAAAGCGTCTGAGATTTCAGCCTGGAGGTGTCCTCGCAGAATAGAAGCAAATTGTCTAGATAAATCAGGCATCGAATAATTTGGAACAGCAGAAGGCAATCCATAGTTTGTCTTTTCACCACTACATTGGTATTGACTCCCCTAGAGCCAGTTCAATATATGTATGTGACAGAAACTTTTAGCCACAGTAATCACAGTGTGGGACAGGTTACTAATATGCTGGTATTGCTGAATTGAAAATAATGAGCCTTGTTTCTTCCTTCCTGAATGAGTCTTGAGAGGGCACTGTTTTTACATACTAAAGGAAGGTCACTGATGTTACAGACCAGATTTCTGGAAAAGCTTTGTTTTCTCATGGTGGAAGAGGTGAGTGGGTGGTCAATGACTCACTCATTGTTCTTGTCATGTTTGGATAAATCCCCTTTTTTGATCATACAACTACGTAGATCGATTGATGTATTGTCTAATGGAGACATAGTATGCTGGTATTGCTGAATTGAAAATAATGAGCCTTGTTTTTTCCTTCATGACTGAATCTTGAGAGGGCACTGGTTTTACATACTGAAGGAAGGTCACTGATGTTACAGACCAGATTTGTGGAAAAGCTTTGTTTTTCTCATGGTGGAAGAGGTGAGTAGGTGGTCAATGACTTACTCATTGCTCTTGTCATGTTTGGATAAATCCCTTTTTTTCAACTTAGAGTGACTTTTACTCCTCATTTGTCATTAATACATGATAGCAAAAATCACTTAAAAAAAAAAAAATTCTTCATTGTTTGCGAGTGATCTCTAAAGGATGACAGGGCATATGAAACATACAATAACAGGCATGGCTCAATATCAAGGAACTCAAGGTCTCATGGTGTCATGTTCTTTATCAGGTCAGATAGGAGACGATTGCCAGGTTTAATATAAGTGACTTTATTTGTATCCTTTGACATTATAACAGTTATTTTTGTAGAAATAA